ATCTTCTTGCCTCACCTTCCCAAGTAACTGGCATTATAGGTGTACACCACCATGTTTGGCTCCCTGTCTTCTCTTTGCTAATGTACTATCAGCGTATGGTACACACTGGTCAACGTGGATTGATGATACCCTGAAAGCAAACATCTGGTCCCTTCCAGCTCTGGTTCAAAGCTCTTTTAGACTTACAAGGGCCTTTCCGTTAAATAAGTAGTTCTTTAGTATGGAATGCTAGGAGCCCCACATAGTCTCCAACTCACATACTGATCAATTTATTTTCAGATAGGGTCTCATGTAGTCCTAGTGGTCTAAACTTGCTATGTAGTCAAGGATGACCTTGAACTTCTGACCCTCCTGCATTCACCTCCCAGGGCTGGGCATATAGACATGTGCTGCCATTCCCAGTTTTAGGGGGTTGGGAATTGAACCTAGGGATTTGATTATGCTAGGCAAACACTCTACCAACTGAGCGACATCTGCACACCTGGTGTTTTCCTTAAAATCCAGCTGGGTGTGGTGGCACATGTCTGTAATCCCCACACTCAGGAGGCAGAGGCAGGATGGTCACAAGTTCCAGGCCAGCCAGGACTGTCTAACGAGACCCAGCTTCAAACCCAAAACCAAACTAAACTAAGAGATTAGTCTCCCCAAGACCCCAAGAGCTTAGCCTTGCTAAGCTGTCCTTAGTGGGCTGGAGACCCCTGGCCGCCCAGTAGCCCAGCCCATTTCCAGTTCCCACAGGGGCAGGCAGTACCCGTCTTTCTCTCCAGCCTCAGGTGCAGCCTCACATCTGTCCCCTCTTTTGCCATGTTGACACATTTTCGGTTCCTGTAGCGCTCGGTTCCTTCCCTGTCACACAACACGGACTGCGGCTGCTGCTGTACCAGCTCCTTCGCTGTCCCTTCCTCCCCTCCACACCCTCGAATGTGTCCCTTCAGGGCTCAGGGACCCAACTTCCTGGCATCCCTTCTTTCTTTCTTGCAGCTCTGTGCCTTCTCACTCCTAGAATGAACATATTTTCTTGCTCTAACTCTGGATGTCAGTGCCTTACAACTCTAACGACCCAATTAGTAGAACTTAAGAATTGAAACCAAGTAAATGCCTGTAAAAATACCACCTTCCTATCTGTCAAAATGTCACAGCAGGAGGGACAATGAGCTTGCCTGTCCCCCCCTGCATGCCCACCAGTCAGTGTGTAGTAGATGCTCAGTGTTTTACAGGTGGGGTGAAGTAAGACTTGATTTTATGGGTCCTGAATCCCCCCCCCAAGTGTTTTAGCTATCCAGATGGGATGGGTTGACGTCTTCGCTTGGCTCCATCTTTCCAGGCACCCCCTCTCTGCATCTGTGTCTTCATAGACTGAGGGGACTCTCTAGCTCAGTGTCCTCGAAAGCAGAAACCACTTATGTTTCTTGTTAGGTTACTTAGCTGCTGTCTTCAGGCCTCATCTAAATCGCCTCTCTTGGATTGCCATGAGATAGTGTTTCCGATTTACCCCTCTCCCCTGCTGATAGGTTTTCTTGTTAGTGTTTTTCATTGGTGTGGCCGGTGAGGCTGGCATTCGGGAGGATGTTCTAAAACGTTCTCTTTTCAAGACAAATTGTATACATCGAGGGTTCTGTGAAAGTGTGTAGGACTCCACGGAACGGCCAGACTTCAAATACGATCGCTTTTGTGAAAAAATTTGATTCCCCCTCTCTTGTAAATCATCTGCTCAGTTTCATTTAGTAAGACTGAATTATTTTATAAACACAATGGAGGACCACCCTTAGGACAGAATAGGGAGTGTGTTTACCACCTACATACAGCCAGGAAGTGTTTCAGATTTGTGTTATGATATCTCAAAAAATAAAGTAACAAGTGGAGAATAATCTCATTCCAGTTATCTTCCTTTTTACTACCAAGTGTTGTTTATTATACTGTATTCACCCAGATACATATATCTCTGATTATTATGCAAACTTTTAGAGATCTAGATTTGATTTTTTCCCTTGACCTTGAGTATCAAATATAAAGATTCATTGGCCTATGAATCTGTTTCTTTCTCTATAAAGCTTGGGCCAGTTTCGCGGCTCTTCTACATGTCTACAGCCCCTTCATGCTATCATCCTTCCTCTTTGCATTCCTTCTGAGTATCCTGGCCAGCGGGAGCACTCTCTTACCAGAGACTCATGGCTTCTCTGTGCTCTGCCCTTCCTGCGTTAGTGATGAAAATACCAAACGAGTGGGCCCCACCTGACCTCTGACAGTGCTCCTGTTCTTACTTTTTATTTAAAATTGGCAGCGCATTTCCCCTTATCTTTTAGAGTCTGCTTAAGATGTAACACAAAGAAAGAATTTTTTACGTCTTAAAAAACGTCTACGAACTCCATATTGATTTTTGCCTCAGAAGGTCAAATGATACATGACTTTTACATATGAAATAGACTACGTATAATTTGAATACAGGCATACACATATATGTAACGTGTATAGTTTGATGTATATGAAACACATACAAAGCACTGTACTACCCATAAGGTGCCCTTTCTCTGTTTGAAACACAGTTAGTGAGCAGAGAGGTTATAGCTATGAAGCAAAAGTGAAATTCTCTGGAACTCAGAAAGCTAGAGCTTGTGGCTTAGGCCCGCCCTTAACAGGTACATCATGCCAAGCAAGCTGCTGGGTCCTGTTGGGCTACCGTTTTGCCACCTGTAATGAGGGAGGGTCAGCTTAGTTCAGTGAGTCTCAGCCCTGACCACACCTCAGGCCCGTCTGAGAGATTTGTGTGATCTTTAAAAATCCTCTGTGAAGCTACTGCTGAGGAGCCAGTGAATGACGCTCCAGGGTCTTTCCAGGACTCCAAGCGCCGTGTCTTTCCTCCCTGGGATGAGATGAGGTACGCTTCAGTTACTGAGGACAGGACTGTTCACTGTGCTAGATTTGTTGGTCATGTGATTCTGTGGAAGAAGCTCAGTGACACAGTTGTACCCACACGTGTGATGCACCTGTCTCCTTCCAGAACTCCCTGGTTCCCACACCTCTACCGCTGTCTTTGAGAGCTGAGGATGCTCATGTTGTGAGGGAAGCCTAGCTATGGCTGTGCTGAGGACAAGCGAGCTCCCAGGGTGTTTCCCGCCACAGTTCTGAGCCAGTGGTCGATACTCCTATCAATAACTATAGCATGCATAGCTTTGTTTCTTGCCTTCACCAATCTTTTTGCCAATCATCTTCAAAATTTGGCCTATTTTTTTTTGACAAGGTCTTTCCCTGTGTTTCCCAGGCTGGCCTGGAACTCACAGAGATCCACCTGGCCACCCCCTCCCCACCCCCAGGTGCTGGGATATATATCAGAGAGCATCTACCACCACTCATCTTAATCTCCTGATTACTACATAATTGTTAATCTCGTTGACTCCTGAAATGAGCAATAATGATATATTCTTGACTTAGTAGTTACTTTTTTAAAAAGTTTAAGCCTTTCGCATAGATTCTAATCACCTTTAGACCCGTGGAATGACCAGTTAATACTGGATAAATATTGTTAACACTGTAAGGTATTGAAAAGAGAAACCAGGAATGGTGGCTTACACCTGGAATCCTAGTACCTTAGAGGCCAAGGCAAGCAGATCACTGTGAGTTCGAGGCCAGCCTAAGCTACTGAATGATACCCTGTCAAAAATAAAATAGAACAACAATTTTTTAAAAGAACAATAAGCTTCAAGGATTTAGATTTCTCCCGTAAAGAAGCCTTTGATTTGACATGTCTTCCTTCTCTTCCACTCTACTACCTGGCAAGGACCGCCTCCCTCATTCTAACCTTGTCTCTTCCTACAACCTAAAGAATGGTGACAGCTCTTCACAGCAGGTCCTGTGATGAACTCTTCGACATCACACCTTAGCCTCCCGAAAGGAGACTGAAAGATGAGAACCCCAGGCCCCCAGAGCAACATTGCTATGGGATATTGGCCTCTTTCCTAAGGTCATCGATGCGTGATCTCACGCAATCCTCAGAGCGACCACTTCATGCGTTCCCCAGGACCGCATCATGGGCTTGGATGTTGCAGTTTTCCCACAGTCACAGTGCTCGGAAATAGTGGAGTTCAAATCTAAGCCATCTCAATCACCAAGCCGTGTGCCTATTATTTTTAGAAGTGTTGCTACCACTGTCCTTATTTTACCTCTGGGGAAAGAGGGCACAGAGGGTCGATAAGATCACCATCTTTAATAAAAGCCAGAGTCCAGACAGGAGACGAGGCCTTCCTGATTTCAAGGCTTCAGCCTCAAGCACCACAGCTGTTGGCACCCCTTCTTCTTCCAGCCATCTATCCATGCTTCTCTCAAGCCCTCCCTGAAACCTGAGTAGACTTATCCTCCTCTGTTCAAAACCAGCCTCTGTCTATTATCTGGGCCTTAAATAATTTTAAAAGCAAATTTAAGGAACTCTGAGATCTGTCATTTCTCCCCTTGCCCAACACTAGTGGCCAGAGTCCCCCACCTGCTGGGGCAGCCTATCTCTTTCTATGCCCTCAGCTGCCAGGCTCTCCTGTATCCAGGTCGCTAGCTCTCCTCCTCTTAGCCCTTCAGTCAGCCCTCCATGGCTAATACCTGTCTTGTTCTGGAAAGGCCTGGAGGGAGGCCTTGGCATTCTGTACCTAATGCAGTGGGATCCACCATTTCTGGGCACTCCCAGCTCACCCTCTGTCTCTGACATCTGAAGGTCTCTAAGCAGGGTGCGGTGTGGAGTCTCATATATCTCAAGTCACAACTGTGCGAATGTTGGAGGCGAAGGTCATGCAAGAACAGCACTGAGCATAGACGAGCTGCTTAATAAACTGGCATTGGCTGAGTTATTAACGTTTGATAAGCCTGATTCTCCCCTCGAATGATCTTATTATACCAATTTGGGGGCCAGGAAAACGCGCTTTCACATGTTTGTTTGCTAGGGATGTGTTTGAAGTATGTGTGACTGCGTTTATTTAAGGGCTGGCGAAACTGACCTTCTTGAACTCTCACTGTTCTAGTGAACGTCCCTTCCACAGTCATGGAAGCCATGTGCCGACAAGACGCCTTGCAGCCTTTCAACAAAAGCAGTAAGCTTTCTCCCTCCGGCCAGCAGCGCTCCGTGGTTTTCCCACAGACTCCCTGCAGCAGGAATTTCACCCTCTTGGATAAATCTGGGCCCATTGAGGCAGGATTTAGCCAAATCAACGTGAAGAACCAGCGGGTCCTGGCCAGCCCAACCTCCACCAGCCAGCTGCATTCGGAGTTCAGCGACTGGCACCTTTGGAAGTGCGGCCAGTGCTTTAAGACTTTCACACAGCGAATCCTCCTGCAGATGCACGTCTGCACACAGAACCCGGACAGGTGAGGCCCAGGGCTTGCCTTCCTGCAGCACCTTGGGGGAAAGCCGCTGCTTAGAGACGCCTGCCTGCAGGCTGCAAGGTCTCAGAGTTGTGTCAGGCCTCAGCGGTACCTCCATCATTTTCGAAGGCTGCACAAGACAGGTTGGTGGCCTCGGAGAGGCATCTGCGCTCACTATCCCAACAGTGACGTCCAAGTTTCAGAGGGAGCAAAAGAGAAGGAACGTTTATGAATATCAGGGGTGGAAAATGAGGTCAGGATAATCAGAATCCCCTCTGTCTTCCAAAGATAATATAGCTGGCTGCCGGACGGCTGTCACAGCCATTTCAGAGTTCACCTCCAGTGTGCCGTGAGTATGATCTTAATTAAGTACTAAGAGGTAATGAATTGGAATTTTTTGCTTAGTACTATTTTTCTTCAGAGCATGCAAACCCATAAATCCTGCAGACCTGTCAAAAGGAAATACCCACTCGGCTAGTGATACGGAGGAAAACAGATGCCACTTATTCAATAAACTAATATCCACACAGAAGAAAAATGTTGACTAGATACCTCAGAGTCAAAGTTGGCTTGAAAGTTTGTCAATACGGAATTTTATGGCCATGAACTGAGGATGAAATTTAGCTGAACAAGTGAATTAAAATTTCAGGTACTCTGACGAGTGGCCCAGTAGATATAATGGAACTATTATTTATGAATCAAAACTGGTTTATTTGACAGTCTCGATAGTGGGGAGCGTAAAAGACAAAGATCAAATTAATTCAATAAGAAGGCAGCCTGCGTTTTATCTCTCCTTCACATCCTATGAGAACTTAATTAAAACCAAAATATCCAAGAATAGCCTAGAAAAAAATTCACCTTGAATATAAAAGCCAAAAATAAATTTTAAGGGCAAGGATTGGACCTTTGGAAGCAGGATTCCCGAATTCTTTTCTCCTGAATTATTTTCTTAATTTTGCCACTCAAGAACCTTAATAAAGCAAGGCACACGACTGTTCGCCTCATGATACATACACTCAACTCTCCCTCTTAGCTTGCAGCACACAGCATCATGCCTGGGAGATCCGAGGAAAGGACAAGGGGGCGGAAGTGTGGTAGAAAGGGTGGGCATATTCTAATCTTAGCTGCCGGGTATTTGTACACATTTACATCTATAAACATTTTTATTTGTGCCATTCTAGGGACTCGTTGCTTAGCCACAAGCATTACCGTAATTAATCAATATGGAAACATTGACTGTAGGGCTAAGACATCTGTGTCTAGGTGCTCAGCAACACACTTGTGCTGTGGAGGTAAAATATAAAAACGGGAACATTTTCTATTTCTCTCCCATGCAGAAAGGCTTTTCTTAAAAGTTTGCAGGCATACATATAGCCCCAATATGTGTCTTTCTCAGCTTATACATCATTTCAAGAGCAAAGATGCATTTAAAGTCTTCTCATAAAAAGTAAGTTCAGGTGTTTGGGTGTATTATTTGCAAAGGACTATTGTAATCATAACTAATTGAGCACAGTAAGATTAAAAAAATAGGTCAAAGTTTCTGGATCTTTGTGTGTGCAATATCACAAAAGCAATGAAGATATTTTATGGTAAATAGACACTAACAACAGCCTGTATTGTGTAACCCAAGTTATACCCAGAAAATCATGTGTATGGTTTAAGTCTCTTTAAAGTTTGTCCTGTAAAATACTAGCACTATAATTTAATACATCTATGAAAACTATCTAAACAATTACTTGCACAAAATACCTCCCTGAGAGATTGTTAAGGCCGGTGATGATTGTAAGCAAATTCAGTGTGGCTGGTAAATCCCTAGGTGGTATGAGCCCCCTTCTGTGCTAGATCCTGATGGGTTCATGTGACTTATGAAGTGGTGGGGGAAAGTCTCAGATGAGGTGACATAATAGTTGTTTATGATCAAAGCTAATGATCAGAGTGACCATATTACTTAGGAAGTGGATTCTTGATTAGTCCCTGTGCTTTGTTGGTGAAAACATGAGAGGTAGTTGACATCATTAATTAATAAGTTATAGTTAAGAGCCATGACTCGAAGAAAGGGAGACTTTTTAAGGACAGCGTAATACAGTGCAATGTTTCTTAGTAACCATGGGGCGGGGGTTGAATTACATCATCAACTGAGATGATTTTTGAAGATGAAATAGAAGGAAATGCCTAGTCATTTTATCTACTAATTTCATGCAAGATGAATAATTTATTTTTACCCTTAGACTTTGGAGACAGGGAGATGCTCTCAAATAATCTCTAACCACACAAGGAAAAGCTAAATAGGAGAAATGTCCAGAACTCCATAAATGTGATGTGGATATCACGTTTGTTCCTGATGGTTGCTGACTTTGGAAACTTACCTGCTATGTGTGTGGAGGCACAGCTCTGCTAAATAGGCATATATTCTTTGGTGACTAGCTTCACAGCTGGGCACTTGTCTTGGGCAGGTTGTGCCCACTCATCCATAGCCAGATGGCCCCCATACCTGTGCAGAACCCCTACAAATATAAAAATCTATGCTCAAGTTCCTTACATTAAAAGATGTGGAATTTGCAGATGACCTATGCAGATGCTCCTGTATAAGTTAAATTATCTTTAAATCAATCATAATAATATCCCAAACAGTTTGTAAATGCCATGTAAATGATTTGTATTCTGTATTGTTTAGGACTACTTTCAAGAAAAGTCTACATGTATTCCATGTAGACACATTATGATTTTGGAGTAGTTTTCTATCTCTGTTGATTAGAGACCCACATATAGGGAGGGCCGACTGAACAGTAAAATAGTTTAACAGAAACAATTTTCCCACTCCTCGAAAACTCAATGGAAAACTCTAAGGAAAAAATTTCACTAGGAACAGAGGCCAGACAACAAAGTCAGAAGATAAACAGGTCCAAATTTGGAGCAGGTCTCTGCATCCATGGTCCAAATGATTTTTCAATCTGCAGAGTATTTGGCCTTGAAATGTCAGACATTTGAATCTTCATCAAAGAGAATGTATGCTCTATATCTGTGATCGTTTTCACGTGGGGTACCATCCAAAAGTGTAAAGAGGAGGTCTGTGGCTACCCAGTGGTATTGGCATCATTTTTCATCTCTGACTTACACATAGTGAATGCAGGAGAAAAATTAGTTTGATCTGGCAAAATAAGAGTCAGAGCAAAGGATAAAAAAGATCCATGAAGGTCCAGGAGCCATGGATTGCTCACTCTCTCGATTTCATTCTGTTGATATGAAGCCAACAGATCCCCACATCTTCTTCTTTTTCTCAGGCTACCAACTCCTCCCCACGTCCGTGGGTGATCCACAGGTAAGCAGTTGTTGCAATGTCAACCAACCTAGATTCTATTTACACAGTTTGTAAGCATTTGAGTTTCCATATAAACATATTGCCCGAGCCAGGGCAACTTGGCTTACTGTTGCCGGGACCAGGAGGTTCTCATCCCCTTTCTCTTCTGATTTTTTTTTTTCTGCTACAGAAACTCTCAATAAGGTTGGGAGGGAGGGGACTCCAGGAATGGGTGAGCAAAGCCTTTGATCACAGTTGATTATTTCCTGAACGTTCTTGTTTTCAGAGAAAATGCATTTATAGTGTGTATCTTTATTTTATACCACTCTTGCTTTTTGCTGTCTCTCTTTTCTCTTCACCTTTGTTTTTCTCTTTTGATTGTTGGTACCCCAGGGGAGAAAGGCTGCCTTTATCTGCTGGGTATACCATCAGCTGTTCGCAATTGTGTTCAAGCACCATTGGCTATAATGGAAAAGGATGGTACTGGATGGGAAAATGAGTTTCAAAGGCTGTGCCTTGTGGGAGGAGCCTGGACGTCACCACCACAGTATCTCTGAGGGTGTCATGTTCTTGCATTCTGCCCCTTGCCATGCAAGTGCTAAGGTCATCTTTCTCCCCTCCAGTGTTCTGTGGACTCTTTGGTTGTACACTTCTAACACTTTCCCGACTGTTCTCTCTGCCTCCACATGGCTGGCAGTGACTTAAGCAGGGCCCCTCTCAAGTCTTGTGAGAGTTGAACTTAGATTGCCTGTCATGGAGCAAGGAGAGGATGTAGCCCCGAGTGAACAACTTTTATCCTAGAGGTTTCTCATGCTATAAAAGGAAAATCAAAGGAGGATTAATAATTTTAAACCAAACCACGCTTAATTTTGTTAAATGTTTCATCCTTTCCCTATGTACACCAAACCAATTACAGACTCAAAGCAAATGAATTGCACATTTTACTGGCGTAATCTTTGGCAGAGGAGCTACCAGTGACAGAGAGAACGTCAGGAGATGAACGGAATGGTCTCACTGCTTTCTTTCTGCTTAAAAGTCCACCAGTGTTGATTTATGCTAAGTAAATCCACCCACACGTTGTCCTTTTCAGTTATTTTATAAATGTGTATGTAGCACTTTCTAGTTTTTCACAAAGCTCGAGTTTTCCTGTGTTGGAATTAGCCACATGAAGCTATTTCAATCTCCGTTAATGGAAATGAAGCAAAATAATGCACTAGTCACCATGCTCAGCTGCTCCTCATAGCTATCGGCCCTGTATTAGTTCATGCAGCTTTAGGCAGTCTCCACTCTTGACCTCCCGGCTTTAGATCCCACACAGCCCCCCAGCCTCACAGAGCTGTGCACTGTGAGATGCTATCCCTCTGGGTTTGCTTTGAAAATGACGGGAGGCTGTATGTGCACGATGAGTTGGGAGAACCAAGTGCTTTTGAAATATGCTTCCCAAATGCAATGATGTCAGATCCTGGACCCAGTGGCGTACAACACCCATGGATGTCTATCCACATGTGCTTTTCTGGTATGATCCATCCAACGGAGATGCAATTTTAGAGTTAAAATGGAGTCTATCCAAAAGCTTGATAACTTTAACTTTGCCAGGCTTTGGCTGGGGTTCAGGAAGTAAAGTGCTCGCCATGTAAGTGTGGGGACCTGAGCTCCATCATCAGCACCCACCAAAAAGCTGGGCCTTGTGGCCCACGCCATTGTCTCAGTGTTAGGGAGGCAAAGACTGAAACCTTGCCTAATCAGGGAGGCTTGGGTACCAGTGGCGGGCTGCCTCAAAGAAGATAAGATGGATGACTCCTGAGAACAGCACCTGTGGTTGAGCTCAGGCTGCCACATGCACACACACGACATAACCCCCTTCCAAAGATTTAAGGCAAATGTTGGTAATGGCAACTTACTCTGTTCTGAAGTTCCTCTGGGATAACTTAAATATGGCTTTAGAAATATACACCCACATTCTAATCTCCTGTGGCCAGTTGTTCCAAAAGAAATTGTAATGTCCTGAGATTCTTTCCTTAGAAAGTATGTTTCTATTTGTAATTTATTCCTATATCGATATTTAAATCTTAACTACGATCACTTTTAAAATTACTTTTTGATCATTTCCCCCCTCCTTCATGAGTATTGGGGATTGAACAAGAGCCTGTCTGATATTCCTGGCCATTTTACTGTTTTTTAAGACAGCATCTTAGTAAGTTGACCAGGCTGGTCTTGAACTTGCTCTGTAGCACAGGCAGATCTTGAACTTATGATCCTCCTGTGTCAGTCTGACAAGAAGCAGTGTTTACAGGCCTGTAATGCCAGGTCTGTCCTCATTTAGTCATTTTTTTAAAAGGAAAATCTGAAAATAGAAGAACACAAGGCTTCAACAACAAGACCATCAACCACTAACTATGTACCTTCTGTGGGTTTTTTGTTTTCTTTGGATATCTTGGAACTTGCCATGTAGAACAGATTGGCCTGGACCTCACAGAGATTGGCCTTCTTCTGTCTCTCTAGTGAAGGTGTGTGCCACCACTCCCAACTTCTTTGGTATTGCTTGTTTATTTTTATGTGAGACAAGGTCTTCCTGTGTAGCCCAGGCCCAACTTTTATCCTTATGACTCCTACACTTTCTATACATTTCTAGACTGTTAGAGACTGTTACAGTAGCAAGAGCTCACTTAAGATCCAAATCTTCATATTAATAGAATTAGGGTCTGCCAAGATGAATGTCAGTAAATGCTCTGAAGTCACTGTATGGTACCTACAAATAAAAGGATATAATTTTGCTTTGTGAAACGTATTAAATCAGAGTTTGTGCCTACATTTTGATACAAGATTTTCTTGTTATTCAAAAATTCTCAAGTTTTTAACCAAAGCATTAAGATTGTCCATGTTTTAGAGTATATACACACACAGAGAGGGAGAGGGACAGGGAGGAAGAGTGGGAATCTTCCATGTGCAGGGAGCTAGCTGCAACCCTCATGCAAGGAGGCATCACATAGCTGATGATGCGATTGACAAGCATCTTTGGGGGACGTCGGTCATTTTCCCTAAAGTAGCAGGAAAATATGATGGTATGTGAAAGAGCACCCAGGTGAATTTATCCCCTTTTTCTAAGTGAATGTGAGGAGAGAGACCAGTGAAGTTGAGGGACTTGTCAGCATCTCATAGCTGACTAGAACCAGAGCTTGAAGTTGGACTCACCTTTCCTATTCCAGGCACTTCCATTCGGCCACAGTGTGCTCCATGCAGTTTTTCAAACTGAGTCACAGTGGCTGGGGAAATGACCCAGGGGGTGAGAGTGGTTGCTCCTCCAGAGGACCCCGAGTTTGGTTCCCAGCACCCATATTGGATAGCTCACAAATGACTGTCACTCACCCAGCTCCAGGGAATTTGATGGCAGCCACAGATGCTTGTCCAGACTCATTCTCTCTCTCTCTCTCTCTCTCTCTCTCTCTCTCTCTCTCTCTCTCACACACACACACACACACACACACACACACACACACACACACACACGTCTCAAGTGATAACTTTTAAAGACAGTTCACACAAGTCACTGGATCCCTAGCAAATACTTTCCGGCTGGTCCTGGGCAGAAATGTTGCTCTTTGATTCCACCATCTTCCCTTGATGACAGAACTCGACATCAGCATTTCAAATCTGCTCTGTGAATCTCTGCCACAGCATAAAAAGGACGGGTTGACTTCTGACTGCAGGAAATAAATCACCCCAACTTTTGACAGAAAGGTTAGAAAAAAAAAGGAAAAGATTAATTGGTTTTATTTAGTGGCTTATTGTTTATAGTGATAGCTATTAAAAATAGATAACCAGGAGCTAATAAATGTTAATGGTCCCTTCACTATTAGAAAAATCAATTGTCAGTGAATATAGCATATATTAATATATTATTTTGTTTATGGTCCTCAATAGCATACAAAAAACTTCATCCCCAGAGAACTATTTTTTGAGAACTCTTTTTAAGGTCAACATTTACTGCCAAGAATAGATTTGCCAGGAGGATATTTTCCTCTGCAGGCAGTTTTAATGGCCTTCAAAGCATTATTTTATAATTATAATAAAATGCATGTGCAATTTGTCAAGCTTGATAAACTCCTTTCCAAGGGCTCTTATGTATTTCTTTGAAACCTGTTTGAGAGCAGTTAGATAGATTTCTAAATGTAAGTAATTAAAATTGTATAGTATTGAGTTATTGACCAATGCTGGACTATTAATCAAGCTAAAAAATTCTACAATCAGTGCTCAGCGTGCTGAAGCCTGGTAAAATAATAGTATTTGTGTTCAGTGAGGCAAGTAGCCGCAATTAAGCACTTCAGTTGACAAATGAGAGGGTACACTTTATTTTGCACTTAATTGAATTGTTGTACATGCTCGGTCACCATTGTCTCCCAACCCTTCAGTTGGGTGTCTGGACATTGGAGTTTCTGTATTTGCTAATGGCAGAGCAATTAAGTCTGTCTTTGCCACTGGCTTCCTAAATGCGGCCAACAACATCTACGCGGCACACCAGGGCTTACTTCGTGAGTGCAGTGGAGATCCTTCAAGGCAGATTATTAATTTCCTGAAAAAAAAAATTGAGACACAAATTAGAACCCTGTCAGGAGATGATGTGAAGCAGCTTTGAATAGGGACAACTCCTCATGTTTCCTACCACTCACTGGATTCTGCTTAAGTAGGCAGAAGAACTTCTGACGGAAATTTAATCTATTTTATGAAAACCCGCGACTGATTTACTTCTCATGAGCTGAGAAGTGTGTGCGCTGATAATCTTGCTAATGACCAGGTATTTGTCCCAGCTTCCTCCCATTGGCTTTTGCGTCACAGTCACCTCCCTGCAAGCACAGTGACGGCTGTCATTCCTTGCTGCCGTCAATCACTCCTTGCAACTAGGTTCAGCAGAGGAGGTAAGACTCAAGAACAAGACTCACAGGGCTGGAGAGATGGTTCAGTGGTTAAGAGCATTGGCTGTTCTTGCAGAGGACCTGGGGTTGGTTCTCAGAACCCACATGGCAGCTCACAACCATCTGTAATTCCAGTTCCAGGAGATCTGACACCCTCTTCTGAACTCCATGAGCATCAGATGCACATGTGGCTACATCCATGCAGACACTCAACATACACATTAAAACAACATCATCAATAACAACAACAACAACAATAAAACAGAAAAACAGGACTCTGTGGATAAATGGGATAGGTGAGAAGTCAGGATTTCTTTTTCAAAGAGACCCATCTGGTAGGTCTGGGTTCATCTTAGGTAGACTCCAAGGCAGTTTAGCATTTATTAAAGTGTGCATGCAACTTGGCCATATGCCCATATTTCCCTAACACTTGGAATAAGGTTCAAACACCCTATGATGACCTTGGCATCAACGTCTCGGATCCTTTAAGGACAGTTTGTCCTCAGTTGTCTGTGCCAAAACCATGAAAATAGCAACGGCTTTCCATGCCCCACTCAGAGGATTACTGTAAAGATTAAACTAGATAATTGATTTTAAAGCACTTTGAAAAGGAAAGGATACTATGGAACCATAAAAGACAATTATGTATTTTCTTTTATACTGTTTGCCTTAATTAATCCCATGCTTATGTCTATAAAGCTTACAAAAATACGCCAGTATTTGCTGGTGAGGAGATCTAGACAAGCAAATGGCCGTTCTTGAAACAGGATGATTAACACAGGAAGGGAATGCTCGTTTGTGATGTGTCTCATCAGCTCTGTGAATTTTGTCCCCATGGCGACAAGGAGTAGAACTCAGAAGCCGGCGCTCTAAACTCAGTCCTTGCTTGAATGTCGCTAAAGTCCCGTCCCCTTCCCCCACAGTGCTGACCGACACAGGACACCATGACCAGTCACTCTCTGTTTGTTGCAGACCCTACCAGTGTGGCCACTGCTCCCAGTCCTTTTCCCAGCCGTCAGAACTGAGGAACCACGTGGTCACCCACTCCAGCGACAGACCTTTCAAGTGTGGCTACTGTGGCCGCGCCTTCGCTGGGGCCACCACTCTCAACAACCACATCCGGACCCACACTGGAGAAAAGCCCTTCAAGTAAGTCGTGGCCAGCTGTCCACTCTCTTTTTCTTATCTTTCTTGGGTGCTGGCCGATACATGGGCACACCTTTCCCAGCTCAGCCCAGCTGGTGGAGAAGGCTACTTATAAGGTTGGTGTTCACGCTGTAAGAGACTCTCTTGGGTTTCGTGACAATGAAGTCAGGAAAGCTATACACTGGTCCTGGCCCAAGGTTTGCAATCTCAGACATGAGATGATCTTCTGGGGCCTGTTTTCTCATCAGTAAAGAAAGAAGGTATAATGAACTAATTTTAGTAGTGTACCTGTGGATCTGTAAACCTGAACTCTGTTTAGGAGTCATGCCGAGATCTCATGGCTATCAGCAAGCTCCCATAACCATGAGAAAGGTGGTCATAGTTTAGGATGCTTGAGTAATCCTTTTGGAGAGTATGAACCCTTCAGAATTCTAATGAATGTTACTTCTTATTTCATCAGGTTAATGAAAATTAAAACAAAAACAAAGGGCATATTGACTTTTGCAGTATACAGAGACTGTGGGTAAGGGCATTTGAGCAAGATTTTGTTTCAACATATAGTCCATTCATCAAAGCAGCAGATATTTGAACTATGCAAAATGGCCCATCCATCCATCCATCCATCCATCCATCCATCCATCCATCCATCCATATGTGTTCATTCAATAAGAATAAATGCCTGCTTTTCCATTGGTCATCCTGCTAGGCACAAAGAGATACAAAGGTGAATGAGACTCAGCCTCTTCCCATCTTGACTCTGAAGACCTCACACTCTAAGGGGAAGTCCAATCAATCAGTATTATAACAAAGGATGAAAAGTATGACAAGACATGTATGTACATTGTTGAGGAGTATCAGAGAAATGTTACCATCAGATCTGTGGGGGATACAATGTTTAACATGTATAGGAAAGGATCAGCAGGAGTTTGCCAGACATACAAGGGAGAAGAGGCTGTTTCCAGTAGTTCAAACGGCAGGGAGAGACCTGGAACCTGCACACATCAGGCTGCTGGTCTCAGAACAGTTGACCCGATGAACTCTCTTCCCCCTGTGCCTTTACATTTCTATTCATTTGCTGTGCTAGCTTTCCCTACTTGGGAAAGAAAATTAAAAAACACGGATGTCTAGCCTTATTCACCTAAAGCAGGGCAGGAAATCATTCTGTCGGTAGGAGAATAAACTACTTGCTCAGACTCAGCCAAGTAGTTTCCCATTCTGTGCCCATCCTAAGGCTGGGTACAGCTCATGGTAACAGTGACCTGTTGGTCTGGGTCCTGCCTGCCTCAATGGCCTGTCAAACAAGGAAGGGACTCATAAAAGGTTGCCATCTTTACCTCTACCTACCATTCCTTTAAAAATTATTAATTAATTAATTAATTAATTAGTTAGTTAGTTATGTGTGTGTGTGTCTGGATGGCATATGTGTAGAGATCAGAAGACAGCTTGGAAGAGTTGGTTCCCTCCTTCTGCCAGGTGGGTCCTGAGGCTCAAATTCAGGTTCTTAGGCTAGGTGGCAAGCACCTTTACCTGCTGGGCCATCTTTCTAGCCACTTTATCATTGTTAACTATGCTCCTTAATGGTTTGATTGGTTATATTAATAGTAAAAACAGTGATTATTCTTGTCTGTGTGCGTGTTTACCACATAAAGTCTTTGGCCTAAGTGGGACAGGATGGTCCTAAAATCAACTTTACGATATACCAACCAAGCTCTATCCTTGTAGGCTGCAATAGTCCGAAGAGGCTATCTTTCTGAGGGGCCAGTTGGCTTGTCCCTATCTACAAAATTTCCTGTCTTGGGTGTTTGTGACCTGCCTGGTGGATGTTGTCACCACACTCGGGTCTGACAACATCCGATTCCCAGGGGCTCACAGATTCTGTCTTTGTCACTGTTCTGGAAGTAGAAGGTAAACTATGCCTTTTTGAGAGTTTGGGAGGATCGGGGAGCCCATTGGTCCCTCATATTAGAGAGGGCAGCCAAATGGATTCAGTGGCAGCAATCAGATTGATTTTTATCCTGTTGCAGTGTAAATAGATTTTAGTAATTAATTGAAGCGGTTTCAGGGTCAAGATGGGAAATAGATTTCTATTAATGTTAAGGTGTTACTTATGTGTAACCTCGTTGATTCCACTCAATTTTTTCTTTAACATTCTGTTTTTGTCATGTTTCCAATAGAGTTGCCATCTTAACTTAACTTTAATTCATCAGATTAATATTTGAAATGTTTTAGTGGTCATGTTTTCCCTCCTTTCCAGCAGTATTGTTTCTTCCATGCCTGCTTTCATTTGGAAAAAACAACTGAACAAAAGATCATAAAGCAACCAGGTTGTTGGATAACATTCTATCTGGCTGTTTTCATCTGTTTTCTTCTTACTTTTAGCAAAATAGCCATATGTTCTCATATTTGAGGCATTTAAAATGATCAAATATATATGTCCAGAGGAGAGATGAGTGTATGCTTATTTTGAAACTGCAAGATTTAAACATCTTCTAGGAAATGGAAAGCTAAATCCTTTAGTGTACACAAGGTCTTTCGGGATTCTATTATTGCAAGGAAGTTTGAGAATCTTCTAACCCAGCCCATGGATATCCAACCCATGGACATTTGTAAATATTATGAAGATATCCTTTTACAAGCTTATAAAACAAACATTAAAAAACTCTCTGTTGCAGATTAGTCAATAAAAATGGTTTCCCCACTACAGTTAATTTTACTACTTCAACTAATGGGCATTGGCTTAAACAACGTTGCAGAGGCTGAAAAGAATCTTGTAAAGATGCGCAAACCTAAACTGAGCGCCCAATGCAACTTCCAAGAAGATGACCCAAGTGTCTCCATCAAAAATTGTCTCCTTGACCCAGGGATTTTGACTCTTCTCAAAATCTCCAGGTGTTGGGTCAGGGAAAGCTCTTTTATCATCCTTACCTCTGCTGTTCAGAACTTGGCTGGAAGGACACAAAGAGTATTGGCCTCCCACGGCGGCCAGATAAGCAGTGGTATTGTGGAGCTAGACTGCCTGCGGGCTTTGCCTTATATCTGATTAGCTGAAACCTCCCTAGAAGAACCTATGTCCTAAGTTCTAGGTAGACCCTGAGCCTGTCAACAGCTAATGGAGACTGAAGAAGTGGGATTTCTAAGGTACAGCAACCCACAAGAAAACAAACAAAATCAGACTGCACCAAAGGCTTTGGAGTTGGGTTTGCTCTATGAGACTGATGTCATGGGAAACAAGGAGCAGACGCAAGAGATCATGTCTTTTAATAGCAATGGCTAGGCACTGTACTGCAGAAAAGGTAGCTGGTAGGGATGTTGGAGGGCTAGCAATGAGGACTCATTTCTCCTTGGCTTATGCTAAATGAGATCTCATAAGGTTTGAGGGAGGGGATCTATTCGACCTGAGAAGCTGTGTGGGCAGGCCAGGACACTCACCATAGGAGATCCCCTCTACTGTTTTTTTTTTTTAGAAGCCAGGGAAAATATTCATCACAATGTTTTTGCCTTCAGTAAAGGGAATTTGGCTCAGAATAAAGAAACAAAAGAAAATCTCAAAGTAGTCCAATATTTAAGCAAGACATAGACAATACTCAAAGTAAATCTGAAAAGACACACCAAGCATTTACCATGTACGAAGCCCTAGACAGTTTGGTCCAGTTCAAGTATTTTATGGCACATGGCAGAGGCACAGAAATATTCTTGCAGGTTTTTTGTGTAGTAGAATTTTTACATCATTTTGTGATGTTCCAGTTCGCACTGTTCAATCAGCCCCTACAGTTACAGAAGAAGGATGTCGAACTAAAAAGGGAAACCAAGGCTAATTCAGACTCTCATACCTGTAGGAAGTTGGGGACTTGGTGTGTGCTGAAGCATTTGGAAGACTTTCCACATGCCTGTGTCCGTGATGTCCCCTTCAAGGCTGTGACATCAGTGCCCATGCCAAGGGAAGGCACAAGATTGCAATTCAGGGTTAAATGCCAGCTCAGATGAAGCCCCGCTCTGACCTCCCAGAACCAAGGTACATGATGGAGTAGGTCTTTCTGATGAGTTCCACAAAACGGTGAAAATATTTTGTAGAGATTTCTCATCTGGAGTTTAAGATGATAGATATAAAACTGAAACCCTAGTCTTATTATTTTTTTTTAAAAAGATAGTCTTCTATCTACATGTATTTACTTCCTCAAATATGCAAATCCTTATCATTCCCAAACATCATAGTTAATATATCTAACAATCCATGTTTCCCAAGAGGAGACAATTCCTGGGAATAGGATCTAAATTCAAGTGATTTCCCCACATCTGCCTGTTATTTTTCCTTCTATTTGGAGAGAAGATGGTACTAGACACAATCTTTGCAGGAGTGGTCTTCTTAGGCATCATAGATGGGGAGAATTTTCTGACAATTATAACAGAGTGCTCTAGGTATATGAATCTCACTGAGACATTCAAGCAAACACTTGAGAAGAATGTGATTCTTCTCTTGCTGTGGTCATCCAGCATGGACATATGAGTATCACATAGAGATGTAGACTTCAGCCTTATGGAAAGCACCAGGCTTCCTGCACGTGAATCCTTCACATTTTAATATACAGGATGAGGAGGGCAAAGGGAGAGCCAGGTAAATTTTCATCCCTCACAATTGTTCAACCTTTTCTCTCTCTTTGAAATTGATCCTACAGCTTCAAAATTAAAAAAAGAAATATAATAATTTGGAAGTTTGTCAAGTAGTGAAAGGTAGTATATTTGAACACACTAATCCAGTAACTAATCAGTTTTCTAATAAACAATCAGCAGTTTGAGCCGTGTCATCAGCACGCCAGTAGCTCTGGAGAGGGGATGAGCTGCTCATGGACGTTAATGAATACACCAAAAATCATTAGGTGATCAATACTTCTGAGTTATTTTCATTGAGCTGATGGGTCTGATACATTAAAGCTGACATTATACATTTGTCAAGATCACTGTGCAGTTTTTAACAGTGGGGCAGGCTGCTAAAAATATTCCTTGAAAGACAATCAAAGAAACACAACTTCTTCATCCTGACACACTCAGTTGGCACAGGAGCCTGGAAACTTGGAAGCGGCGGTTCTCAACCTGTGGGTTGCGACCCTTTTGGGCAAAGCTCTATCTCCAAAAGTATTTACATTATGATTCGTAGCAGTAGCAAAATGCCAGTTATGGAGTATCAATGAAAATAGTTTTATGGTTGGGGGCCACCACAACATGAGGAGCTGTATGAAAGGATCACAGCATTAGGAAGGTTTGAGAACCACTGCTTTAAAGCAAGCCGCCAAACTCCAGCTTCCCAACATTCCCAGGCATGTGAGAATCTCCAAACTGGATGGCTGTGTTCTATTTCTCTAGCTAATTCCGTACACAGTTTCCTGAAGAGAAGGGAAAGAATATGCTCATCAGATCATGGGGTGTGCGGCTTCCTCATCTGTGGCAGGACAGGAGCCTTCTCTCCAGGGTGATTGTGCTTCTGCTCCAACAGCATAGGGTTCCGAGAGCTGGGGACTTCCGAAGACGGCCATTGACACTCCTCTTGAATGCCTTTTCCTTCAAAGGTTTGAGGAGGTTGTAATAAAAGGATGGCCAGTGTGGCTGCCCAGTCTGATCATGCTTGAGGTAGCCCAGGTTGCTGCCGTGTGTGTGTGTGTGTGTGTGTGTGTGTGTGTGTGTGTGTGTGTGTGTGTGTGTGTGTGTGTGTGGAAGGCATCATTAAAATAGGTTGGCCAGTTTCTTATTTTTTGCTATCCTTGTTAGAACTCATTAAATCTATCTTTAAAGTTTATATGTGAGGG